ACTCGTACGTTTTTAGGGATCCTGTAAAATATAGTCATGAACCTGCAACCATTATTTTCGTACATAGAAAAATATATGCTTAAACAGCTGATGGGATTCTTAGAGCCTATCGGTTTGTGTGCTGTTAAGCACAAAGTTGCACCATGACCATCTACGCTGTGTCTACCGCAGGGATAGAACCTCGCGTTTTATCATTATAAGTTCTCATGCTTGTTGCTGAGCCCGCGTGGGCGAGTCTATTGATAATTCGGTAGTTAAGGAGATGTTTAACTGCGTTTTAACGTCGACGACTTATTAATTTTGGGTGGAGATAAGAAATGAAATAATCACTTTTCCTTCTAAAAGTAATTAGGCTTGGCACTATCTTTACGAACTTCTTGTTGCCTGTGTTGTTCTCGTATATTTAGAAACTAATTAGGCTTGGCACGATCTTTACGAACTTCTTGTTGCCTGTATTGTTCTCGTATATTTAGAAACTAATTAGGCTTGGCACGATCTTTACGAACTTCTTGTTGCCTGTGTTGTTCTCGTATATTTAGAAACTAATTAGGCTTGGCACGATCTTTACGAACTTCTTGTTGCCTGTGTTGTTCTCGTATATTTAGAAACAGATTATGTTTGATTTCCAACATTAGTTTATAGAAAACACTTTTTAGCAATGTAATGAAAACTAATCAACCTATCACTTTGTTTGTTTGTTTGTTATGGATTTCGCCCAAAGCTACACGAGAATTTTCTGCGCTAGCCGTACCTAATTTAGCAGTGTAAGACTAGAGGGAAGGCAGCTAGTCATCACCACCCACGCCAACTCTTGGGTTACTCTTTTACCAACGAATAGTGGGATTGACCGTCACATTGTAACGACTGAAAGGGCGAGCATGTTTGGTGAGACGGGGATTCGAACCCGCAGATTGCGAGTCGAGCTCCCTAATCAACACATCGGAAAACTTCGCGGGTTCAGGAATTGCATTTTTCAAATAAAGCTTTCCAAAGCTCTGCTTACATTCTTCTCTTATTTTTTGACTTTGCAGCGTTTTAAAAAGACCCTGGAGTCGATCCACGTGGAATCGTCACCACCGGCATGGTCAGATAGAGAGTTGACTGAATTTGTGTGTAACTTCTGCTTACTTCCAGCCTCAGCCCATCCTGAGGGAGACTCGGAGTTCTTGATTTGTTTCGACTGTGGCGCCAGAGGTAACGTGTAAAGTAGTATCCTAATCCCTTTATCACTACGTCATTGGTGACAGAGGTGACGTGTAAAGTAGTATCATAATCACTTTATCAATACGACATTGGTGACAGAGGTGACGTGTAAAGTAGTATCATAATCACGTCACCAATGACGTATTGATAAAAGAGGTAACGTGTAAAGTAGTATCCTAATCACTTTATCAATATATCATTGGTGACAGAGGTAACGTGTAAATTAGTATCCTAATCACTTTATCCTTCTGTCACAAACAAAAGACTTAACGTGTAAAGTAGTATCATAATCACTTTATCAATACGCCATTGGTGACAGAGATAACCTGTAAAGTAGTATCCTAATCACTTTATCAATACGTTATTGGTGACAGAGGTAACGTGTAAAGTAGTATCATAATCACTTTATCAATACGCCATTGGTGACAGAGATAACCTGTAAAGTAGTATCCTAATCACTTTATCAATACGCCATTGGTAACAGAGGTAACGTGTAAATTAGTATCCTGATCACTTTATCAGTCTTTTGTTTGTGACAGAAGTAACGTGTAAAGTAGTATCCTAATCACTTTGGCATTATTTCGCTGGTGGTAGAGGTAACGTGTAAATTAGTATCCTAATCGCTATGCAGGACCGTAGCCAAGGTGTGTAAGATGGTTGTTGTTTTCCCAGAATCAAGTGATCTTTTTACTCATATTAGCAAGCAAGCATAAGGTACTAACTGTTAGACTATTATCTATCATACTTTGTTTCTAACAGTGCCTTACATAACATTATCTGTAGCTGTGTGTTATCGATATAACTTTTAATCAAGTATTTTCGCGACAGCGACGAAGACATGCAATTATGGTTACCCATGCGCATGCTCATAATTCTGGCAGTACTTTGGCCCTGAATCTATGGCGAAAAGTATGATGTTATTTCACTTCATTGTATGTAATTAAATCAAAACAACTTTATTTTTGTAAATTAACCAGGTTACTCATTCTACCCAGGGGGAATATTTAATCTTACAAGCTAAATTATGTACTAGATTAGTACTAACGCATTATTTCATAGGTCATTGATTATTTGTTCCCTCTCTTCACACTTCGCACCACCCCTATGACATATTTAATCTTACAAGCTAAATTATATACTGGATTAGTACTAACGCATGATTTCACAGCTCATTGATTATTTGTTCCCTCTCTTCACACTTCGCACCACCCCTATGACATCACACTGGTTTTTTGCACTTCAATTTGTTTCTGTAGGTCGAAAGGTTATCATCACTCGCTCAGGTGTTGGTCGGGCACGTGCCTTGGAAGGCCTTGTCTTGGCTAAGCCGATAGTTCGTACTTTGTTCTGTTTGCAACCACAAGTTTTCGTATTCCATACACATGAATATTTATCTTTGTTTCAGCTTCCACAAAATGTATGGACTACAGCCCTCAACTGGCAGAAAAAGCCAGGTTGTATCCATGGCAATGCATGTACTGTAAGACATGTTGTCTGTGCAACGACTCTGACGATTGGGTAAGAGTACCTTTCTCTAACTCATATTCATCCAGAACGTTGTTAAAAATCTGCCTTGAATATATATGCGATTGTCTGGCCTTTTTCAAAATTCCAATAAGTATATGTGATAGTAGATTTTGAGTGTATTTTGAAAATGCTTATAGAATACCGCCCCTATTCTGATTGTGTGAAATACTGGTAGCAACATATAGATTGTATGTACTTACTTTTCTATCATTGGGTGCTAGTATTATGAAATTAAGTCAATTTTCAGTTCTTTAACTTTATAATCAGCCCTAAAGTACAGTTTTTGTAAACGTAATTTCTCTATCCGTTTGTGGCATTCTCAGGTAAAACTGATTTCCTCCAAGACTGAATAAGATAGGTCCGCTATATAACGGGAGATTCGACTAGGATACTTCAAGAAGTAATTCTGACTTTCTCTTAAACTAACTGAATTTGTAGAAAATAATGGGTACGAATGTAATCACACAAAACAATCTATTTAACATAATACCACAACTTTACTGATGAATTGTACAAGCTAAAGATCTGTTAATTCTATAAATTTAAGGTGATTCTGTAGAAAAATATATTCCATACTGAGAAGACATCGCGTTAGATACTTAAAATCCATATCGTCCTACTTTCCCAGGGCGAATAGTGCTACCCACGTGACTGGTGATTTCTATTCGTAAATAAAGAAGGTTGTATCCTCGAGATATTGCATGACTTGCCGTTAGAGGATACTTTTGTCTACTTTCATACACAATGTGCAATTTCACGGGAAGACCAAGTGTTATCCCAGGGGAATGACGTAGAGCAATAGGTAGTTATCGCCAGAGGAACGTAAAGACTTTCTTGATCTCGGTTTGTGTGAAAACTGCATATACCTAGAAAAGAAAATATCTACTTTAAAACAAAAAGGTGTGATATTGTCTAAGTAAAGTAATTATGAATAGAATCAGGAACTACTAAACTTTTCAAAAACACAAAGTTCAAACTATTTTAATGAACAGTCTCTATTATTCAGGATCTCGGCAATACATGCTTGAGATAAAAGAAATGATCACCCATTGATAGTGCCAAAATGTATTTCTTCTGTATAATAGGGTTGTTCAAGGAATCATCATTGTTATGACAACAATAATTATAAACTACCTTAGTAATAATATATGAGATGACGTAAGCAACCTTCATCGTTATGGTAACGTTAACCGTAGATTTACTTGGGACGTAGTATGAGGAATCTTTATTTTTATTGTAACATTAATTGTAGTATTCCTGGGTAATATTACAGCATAACCTAAAAGGTCTCATACCGCCAGGACTTTTCTTAACTCCGCACTTTCGTCTGTTCGAAACATACACCGTTGATATCACGATGCAATGTCACGATGGTGATAAGCTTCTATTACGTCACCCTGTACTGTTGTGGTAATGTTAATAGTAGTGTTGTGTCAGCGAGGTCACGTGACTAGTATCACGCCACGTTTTCTAGAAATATCCCGTTCCTTCAAGAATGCCCTAGCATTTACTAGATATGTGTTAGTCTTGTATATATATATATATAAGACGTTCACAACGTGACGGGAACAGTGTAATGAGTAATTGAACTGCAGTCAGAGAGTGTGTAATTGAATGGAGTATTGTTGAAGTCGAGCTCGTGAGACGTTTGTTACAGCGCGACTGTTGAACTTAAGTGTATCGCAAAGTTATATTCAGAAAGAATAAACCAGTTTTATTTAAGAAAGGACTTGTGTCGGTAAAGTTTCGTCGGAACGAATTTACGGAAAATTAACTAACGACTGGAGGCGTAACAGTAGGCTACGTGAGTAACAATACATCTGTGGAACTATCATTTTTGCAAGAATAATAAAAAATGCAGTCTTGTTGAACAACAGAAAGTTACGACAAAAAGAAAATGAATATTTAACACATATATATATATATCTACAATCATTAAACAGTTGGTCCCTCTGTTTACTATTGAATAATGAATTCGACGAAATATCGTAACATTATTAACAAACTTAAATTAAGTTAGGCTATTATTATGGTGAAGTAAAACGTACTCAAAACGCCATAGAAATCCAAAATAGACAAATTAAGTCCACGTCGGGGAAGAATGGGAACATTTGAAGTTTATGTGATTTTTCATCACATATTTTAGGGTTATTGGTTTACAGTTCTTCGCAAACTTTCGGTGTTTAAACCCTAACTTTTAAAGCATTATATTTCATATACAAAATGGCGTTTCACATCGTCTTCATCACCGTCCAGCACACCCAACTAAACGGGTTATGGTATTGAACGAAAAGTATCTTGGGTGGCGATTTGTTGGGAACAAAAGGTAGATCTGTGATGCTGTTTTTTGCACGCCTCTGATTTTCGATCCGAAATAGAGAAATTAAGAAATAAATATGAAGTTTACATGATATTTATCATAAATTATTGACTGCCTTACTGTGTATGATAGAGTGTATTACAACCAAAAGACTCGACTACGTGTACACATGTGTGACCTTTATAATAAAATACTGCTAACACATCATTTTCAAAGATAGATTTGGGATGTTGCCAACTAATTAGAAAATGCTTCATCAACTAAATTTTGCAAAGAAAAAAATTTTCTAAAAAAAGTATAGTTGAAATATGATCGTTTTAATATTTTCATAACAGTGTCGTAGACAGGGCCTTGTAGCCTTCAACAACATTAGTTCTGTATATGTAATTTTAGGGGGAAAATAATGCTTTATTAATAAATCTAATCTATTAAAACAATTGTATTCAATTTTTTATCCATTGTTTATGTAGAGGCCAGCTGGTTCAAACGTTAAAGCTCTTATGTGTCCAATTTTTATCCACTGTTTATATAGAGGCCAACTGGTTCAAACATTAAAGCTCTGATGTATTCAATTTTTATCCATTGTTTATATAGAGGCCAGCTGGTTCAACATTAAAGCTCTTATGTATTCAATTTTTATCCATTGTTTATATAGAGGCCAGTTGGTTCAAACATTAAAGCTCTTATGTATTCATTTTTTATCCGTTGTTTATGTAGAGGCCAGCTGGTTCAAACATTAAAGCTCTTATGTATTCAATTTTTTATCCGTTGTTTATGTAGAGGCCAGCTGGTTCAAACATTAAAACTCTTATGTATTCATTTTTTATCCATTGTTTATGTAGAGGCCAGCTGGTTCAAACATTAAAGCTCTTATGTATTCAATTTTTATCCATTGTTTATGTAGAGGCCAGCTGGTTCAAACATTAAAGCTCTTATGTATTCAATTTGCAAGTGACTCAGTACCATATTTAACACCTAAAGAATAAATGAAGCCATTTTTTTTAAACAACCCCCCTCATCTCAAGGTCTGGCTAGAGCGCTACATATCATTGATAACTATAAACATAAAACAGTCTGAGTTTATATGGAAGTATGACTGAATTGTGTATTTAAGAAAACAATTTTTCTATACGCAGGACACGATGTTAATCTGTGATGCTTGTGACAAAGGATACCACATGAAATGTCACGTGCCTATAGTTACAGAGGAACCAACAGGTATGTTTACAGATAATATCATAGGAAATGTTACATGCTTGTAGTTACAGAGTAACCAAAAAACGTGTCTCACATGAATTGCTACTTATCTATAGTTTCAGAGAATCCAACAGGTATATTTCACAGAAATATCTCGTGCCTATACCAAAACATTGTGCAACATAAAGTGTCTCATGCCTATAGTTACTGTTATGAAATTAGGTGTAAGGAACATCGATTGGAGTTGAGAGAGGTGAGAAAGCAGCCGGCTTTTGGTCAGTCCGTAAGGGATTAGGGGATTAAAGCACTCTAAGTCATTAGAAAATGATTGGATGGAGTAGCTACCTTTCTTGTTCAATCAGTGTGGAGTTTACAAGACCCCCCCCCCCCCCACTGATTATGAAACAGTATAACCTTAATTACGGAAAACTTATTCAGTATGGATGTGAAAAAGGGAATATAAAAGATAGGAGTTGTGTGAGAGAGAGAACGAATAAATTGAGAGAGGCGAAGGAAGAAAGAAATATGATCGAGTAAGAAACAAACCTGGTTCTAAACCTATGATCTTGAATATAGCAGTAAACAGCAACTTGTAATGTTCACAGTAGCATGAGTCGATTCCTAATAAGAATAAGTGCAACTTAAGTGAAGTAGATATGGACATAAGAAAGGAAAGCAAAGTGCGAAAATAGCACGATCCTAACAAAGTGATGTCAGAAGCAATCTACAACAAAATCACATGAAATATCATGTACCTATAGCAACAGAGAAACCAACGGGTATGTTTCACAAAGAATATCATATGAAATCCTGTTCCTATGGTTACAGACAGCCTGTATACAACTACTTTTAACCTTCAGTTACATACAGCCTGTATACAACTACTTTTAACCTTCAGTTACATACAGCCTGTATACAACTACTTTTAACCTTCAGATACATACAGCCTGTACATCAGAAGTGTTAATTTTCAGTTACATCCAATATGCACCCTACTAATGACATGATGAAAATAAACGTTTATTTTGGGAAATACGTCTATATTTCAGAAACATGAAATATTTTAAGATGTATAAATTGTACAGTCTACTTGTATTTTTCTTGTAATTTGAACTAGGTGTGTATGGTATCATTTGTCAATTATACCAGTTGTTTTCCGTGTAACTGACAGTTACCAGTAGTTGTGTACAGGCTGTATGTAACTGAAAGTTAACAGTAGTTGTGTACAGGCTGTATGTAACTGAAGGTTAAAAGTAGTTGTATACAGGCTGTATGTAACTGAAAGTTAACAGTAGTTGTATACAGGCTGTATGTAACTGAAAGTTAACAGTAGTTGTGTACAGGCTGTATGTAACTGAAAGTTAACAGTAGTTGTGTACAGACTGTATGTAACTGAAAGTTAACAGTAGTTGTGTACAGGCTGTATGTAACTGGAAGTTAACAGCGGTTGTAAACAGGCTGTATGTAACTGAAAACTAACTCTAGTTTTCTACAGGCTGTATGTAACTGAAAGTTAGTAGTTATAGTATACAGGCTGTATAAAACAATGTTGAAAGTAATAGTGTACACACCAGGGGCAGAATGATGATTGGAAGATCATACCAATCGTCCAATGAGATCAGACGAGAAGGTTTGTTTGTGATTAAGCACAAAGCTACACAATGGGCTATCTGTGCTCCGCCCACCACGGGTATCGAAACCCGGATTCTAGCGATGTAAGTCTGTGCTACCGGGGAGCCAGAGGAGAATGATTCGTGAATAACTGAACGTTTAATGACTCATAGCATATAATGTATTGTAGTACTATTCACGAAGTTCACAAATTAAAGAAAAAATACGTTGTGCATTTTTTTGTTTTCAATCCAACATTTATTCCATTTATTACTCGTCTTATATGATTATATGACCATGGAATTGCATATTCCTTTTTGGGGTGAAAAAAACCCATAAAATAAAGTAGTGCTTATCATAAACATGCAGCTGTTGTGAAAATAGAAAAGGGTGAAAAACACAAGTGAGTAATGCTTTCGTTAAATATTGTAGCCTAAAGTAATAACTCAATAATGAAACGTGTATGCTTTTGTTATTTAATTATTTTTCAATATCTTTGTAAGATAAGTTTCGTAGTTGAGCGCGCCGGCCCGGCATGGCCAGGTGGTTAGGGCGCTCGACTCGAAATCTGAGGGTCGTGGGTTCGAACCCCCGTCACACCAAACATGCTCGACCTTTCAGCCGTGGGGGCGTTATAAAGTGACGGTCAATCCCACTATTCGTTGGTAAAAGAGTAGCCCAAGAGTTGGTGGTGGGTGGCGACGACTAGCTGCCTTCCCTCTAGTCTTACACTGCTAAATTGGGGACGGCTAGCGCAGATAGCCCTCGTGTAGCTTTGCGCGAAATTCAAAACAAACAATCAGCGCGCCATATCTTACCAATATTATGATATAGATAGGTAAAATTGCACAAGGATGCTAAGACTATCATGGGGATACACATGCTGTAGTTGTCACATATTGCCACCAGGGACTCCACTGTGGTTACTTTCGAATATTATCCATGGGTATAAATGATGCTAGTCGATCGCAATGCAGCTCATTCAACCAACATAAAACTGGCTCATTAAATGTTATTACAGCAAAGGATGCATTGCTGAGACAGCTCTCAAGGAATGTCGTAGAGTTCATAACATCCGCAGGGGGTCTTGTTCCAGTATTGCTGTGCGCAAGTTCATTTTAAAAAAATGAGGAGAGGTTGTATTTATGATAAAGCGACGTATAGGCAGACCATCACTGACACCTACTGAAACCATCGCCAAGGTCAGCCATGCCGTAGTAGAACAAGCCATCACAAGTTCACACCTGACTTTGTTATTGTACCTTACCGTTTTGAAGAACCATCAGCACGTGGATTGCAGACTTACACAGTCAGTGCTGTACCGTGTCTTGCAATTATCAACCAGAGTGATTCCCATTTTGCATCAACAAAACGTGATAGACACTACAGTTTTTCATGCAGCGTGGTGTCCCTCTTCGTAATGGTAACCAAAGGAAACGCGTATTACGGGAGCAGTTTTTAGAAAACAATAATTTCACTCTCCTTGTGAGTTTCCGTTTCGTTCACTGGATCTGACACCAGCTGATTTCTGATTGTGTGTGTGGGTGGGGGGGGGTACCCGAAGCCACGCGTGTACCGTAGGAAGCCTTGCACATTTCCGGACCCCCAAGGATGCAAATGTCCGGGAAGTGGCCAACATACCAGATGAGATACATGTTGTCACACATATGCAATACCTTCTGGACGATGGAGGAGCACATTTTGAACATCCCCAACAGTGGTAACATGTCATAGCTGTAGCATTTGTAGCAGCACGATACCCCCTAATAACCCTGTACATACCGTTTGTGAGGTATGACGCGCTGGACTGCGAAACTGTTTTTATAAACCCCCTGTACATTTCCAGGCTTATCTATCTTAATCAGCAAGATCTTCCTGTGGGATCCCTCTACACATGAACCCTTCCCTCACTTTTATAAACGTATTGCAAATAATTTTCTTTCCTTTGCTTTTCTTTTCATTTTAATCATCTGACGTGAAAAATTATGAAAATAATCGCAATTCGATGCTGGTTACATTTATCACACATTTAATCTCCTTTTGTGTGCTTTTGTACATACTGCGTGCAAAGACTTCATTGGCTCCTTTGAAGTCTATATTTCTATCCACTTCTGCTCGTTGGACAAAACCTCAGATCCTTTCAATCTTCCTTGACCAGCCAAACGGGCTTATAACACTAAAAATCGTGTTTCGATACTCGCTATGGGCACAGCACAGATAGCCCATTGGGTAACTTTGTGCTTAATAATAACTAAAAAAAATCAAATTTTATTGGTAGTTTTTATCATATTACATTTTAAAGATCATAAAAAGTGATCAATCCGTGCTGACAACTGTCATTTGAATGAAGGAAACATCATGCATGTTGTACTCACATCTGGGAAACATCGGTGATTAGGAACTGCCCTAAAAAATCAGCAAACTAGCCAAGCCTCTGAGTGATAGATTCTTGGATGATTTTGTATTATTACTAAACCCGACTTGTCGCTCAGAAGTATCATGTCAACCATCTCTTCTGGAAGAGATCTTCCTCAGTCAAATTACATCTTGTCTGGTTGAATTAACATGGTTTATAACTTATTGTTAGTTGATAATCTCAAGTTTAGGTGAGTTTTGCTATTTATTAATAAAACAGTCTTAAAGCACAGTATTAGTCCATAATTTGTGGAAAGAAATGTTTAAAATTAGTGTACATAATGTTTCTATGGTACCATCGTATGGTGCTTATATAAAGTAGTTTAACTCTAAGCATTGTTGCTTAGAAAGTAAAGAAAATATCACCTTTTCTTTGTTCCTGTTTTCTTTGTTTCAAGGTTTTATAAAATCAAACAGTAATTTAAAAGTTTGTTGCTGTTTACTAGAAATCTCTACGTACGGGCTTGCTGCGCATAGCCACCCCTAATTTTGAACTTGTAGACTACAAGGAAGGCAACTAATGAACTGCACGCAACACCAACTCTTTGGCTATTCTTGTCTGACCGAATAGTGGATTTGACCATTACTCTTATAACGCACAATCGGCCTTAAAATGCAGAGCGCTTTTTTTTTCTTTCTTTTTTTTTGTCGGCAACGTGACGCAAAATGAACTTTGATTCACAGTCCGGCCACGCTAACCCCCAGGGCACACATGACCATAAATAAAGGAACTGTCCTTTTTTAAAAAAAATCGTTTTCACAAACTTTCGTTATGATGAATGTGGGTCGTACAGTATTTTTATTTATTTACTATTAATGGATGTACTTTAGGGACATGGGTATGTCAACGATGCATGGATGAAAAACAAACAGGAGGAACTAATGAAATCAAGGATAAGAATTCTCTGGTTAAAAGCAATCAACTAGAAGAACTGGGTAAGGAAAAAAACTTGAACTATTTTCAGAAGTTTATAGGTTGTTTAGTTCCTTCTCTAATGAAATATAGATTTAAGGACTTTCAAACGCGGAACTTAATGCCAAGTATTATACATCAGATGATGAAATCCGCAGTGAAAAATTTTTGTAAATATATTTACGGTTTGGTGTGTGTTTTCCTTATACGAAACTTCTGTCTCCAGCTGATTGTAATAAGGTATTTTAGTTATCAAACGTGAGTTAATACGTTTGTTTTTCCAGGTTTTAAGTGCTTGTTTTGATTTTGTACCTGCTTTCTAAAAGAAAAAAAGGTAATGAAATGCCTAATAGATGGCGTTAAAGATTGCTGCTATGTTTATCTTTGTTGAAATTTACTTTTCTTATACGTGGATGGGTGTTTATAGGCTACTATTTTTGTTTGTTTGTTTTTTGAAAAATGGAAAAAAAACTCTCGAAGAACATAGAGACGTATATAAAAAAAAAAACACAAAATCTATATAACTTCTATTTTCTCCGTAGTTTCTTATTTGTTGTTTTTGAAATTTCTTTTCATAGCAGGAGTTAATACTTCACTAGACCTTCCCTTACCTTGTGATTCACCAGTTCCAGATGGTTATTGTATTTATTCGAATACATTTGATACTTTAAATCGAAAGTAAGGAAACAATATTTTTACATTTATTGTATTTGTGAAACTATAAGATGTTAGTACTGACTACCGTACTGAAATATATATATTTTATTTTGTTTTACAAAGGTTACCAGTAACTTATGTTGGTTATAACATTCTACTAATTATTCTTGCTAATAAAAGAAATGTAGTATTCTTTCAAAATTTTCAAATATCATACTTTTTTTTATTATCTGTGTAAGTACTTATGTATTTTTTTCATATGATTTCTGTGAATAAATTATCTTTCGAAGAAAAATTGAAATGTTGTTCAAAAAATATATTTCGTCGTCATTACATTGTGGCTAAAGAGGGCACGTTTGTAAAGGAGGTATCTTCTGAGCAATGAAACTTCTGATGAGTCGAACTGATTCAATGTCATCTAAATTTTCAAATAGCCATTTCGAGACGTACCCAGAGGTGGTTCCAGATGCTAAAGATTGGACCATTGATGACGTAGAAAACTTTTTCACGCACATTGGCTTTCCAGAACAAGCCCCTGCGTTCAGAGAACAGGTAAGCCTAACCGTTACAAAATCGATGTGTGTGATTAAACGGCTAGTGCTCTTATACCCAGTGAACGTCTAGAGACTACAGCTGTACAACATTCACGAATAAAATAACGGAAGAGATTGTAAATAATAGAGAGCGCTACTTGCATTTGTGATAAATGATCACGTGATATTAAGTAATAGGAAATTTATAATATTTTTAAACTCACTTATTTTTTTTTTTTTTGATAGTATATTATTAAGTATTTATGTTCACCCAACTCAGACTTTCAGGAAAATCTGGTTGATTAAATATTTTAAATTTCCTCGTACAAAAAACTTGTTTATTAGTAATGAACCAATGGCTAATCACGTGACAGTGGACGATGCATGTTACAGTCAAACTCTTGACGTTGAACCGGAATCTGTCTCATGTCACAAAACTAACTAGTGTTTTTAAGAGTATTAAGTAACTCTTAAAGAACATATTTAAACGTGGATTATCATTAATAATATAGTAATTCTTCCAGGTTAAAAATGTTTAACCAAGAGTTAAAAAGAAGGTGGAGAAGAGATCCTATAAATGTTAAACATAATTTAACGTTATAAGCAAGACAGGAATGTTTATGAATCAATGGGGGAGGGGCAATAAATTAAAATGGTGAAGTTGATCTCAATTTTTGATTAAAATGGTCATTAAAACAAATCAAATGTAATAGTGTTTATGAAAGTTTTATCTTTTCTTATTAAATGATACGAAACGAGTTTATTATATATATATAAAAGCTGAAAAATAATGTGTGATTTTTTTTCAGGGAGGGCCAGGCCCCCTTGGCTACGTCTCTGGTAATACTCCGTTTAACAGAGTACCTGTACTTATTAATGATGAGAAATATATACTTTAGTTTGGACAGTTGATTAATATAAAATGCTGACAACAAGGGACTATTTGATCTTTAAATGGTATCCCTATACAACTACCCTAAAGGAAAAAATGTAATTAAAAATTCAACCTACCCGTTATTTTTCAGGAAAACTTTGATTGACTCCTCTTTTAAACTTTTATTATTATTTTTTTACATTCACTACCGCTAATAACCGTGCAAGGTTGAAATGCCCCTAGTGTAAAATATATAAACATTTTACTCAAAAAATAATTCTATTCCATCAGTGTTAATTCAATAATAATAATTGGTGGTTACAATGAGTTTTCATGACCAATCGTTTTAACTTTGAACTTACAAAATCACATAAAATGTAATGAGGTTTTTATAACAGAAAAACTGAAACATCCACACTCATTATAAAGACATGGGGTAAAAAAGGTTTTAATAAATTTTAAATATGAACTTCGAGTGTCAAATTAATTTGATATTTAGCAGATATACTAAATAAAACAAATGTATGCAGCACAAAACAAGTTCCAATGTGTCATAACACGTAAAACACAGATGAAAGTATCCTCCATACTGTTTCCAATATGGATGTTTTGGTGTATTAACTCCATAGACAAGGGGTAACAATGATATCTGTGGTGCTGCTGCTGTTGAAGAGGGACTCATTTCTTACGTGTCACTGGGAGTGTTACTGATGCTGTTTTGCCTAAAGTAACCTAATTGTTCATTACATTGAAGGGTATGTTGTTTTGTAGGACCTTGGTTGTCACACAACCCTGTTCTGTGTGAAGTAACATAATTGTTCTCCACATTGAAGGGTATGTTGTTTTGTAGGACCTTGGTTGTTCACACAACCCTGTTCTGTGTGAAGTAACATAATTGTTCATTACATTGAAGGGTGTGTTGTTTTGTAGGACCTTGGTTGTTCACACAACCCTGTTCTGTGTGAAGTAACATAACTGTTCTTCACATTGAAGGGTGATTAAATCCAATATCTTTACAAATCTTTAATTCCATCCTTTGCAGACATCGTTAATTTTGTGGATCCCCTGTCAATAATACTTCATGGACATTCACATTTCAGAAGGAAGTTTATTTTGTTTGTTTGTTTTGAATTTTGTGTCAAAGCTACACGAGGGCTATCTGCACTAGCCATCCCTAATTTAG